GGGCCCCGGACCAGGGCCGGGGGCGGGGCGTGGCTCGCAGGAAGTCAGGCTCTCTGCACTGTCCCTGCACCCCCCCCTGCACCGTCCCCCCTGCGGGGAGACGAGGGGCTGGCACTGTTAGCCCAGCATCCCCCGAGGCCTGGAGTCCGTCTGTGGGTGAAACCCCAGCGTCTTGCAGCCTGAAAGCTCGTTCCCCCCCTCCCCTGCATGCGAAGGCAAGTGGGGAACAAGGGCCGGGCCGGGTTCCTCCGGAAAGGCATTTTCTGGAAGGCAAGGCCCTTGCTTTGCAAAGTCTCCTCCAGCGCAGGCTACCGAGCAGTCCAGGAAGGGCCCTTGCAGCTTGCTGCGTGCAGGACTTTTCACGCCCCTCCGTGCACAGGGCCCTGGCGCTTTGCGTCTTGGCAGAGGCAGGCACGTGCGCTGCAGGACTCACCGGGCACGGGGGAAGCGCAGGAAGCGCTCACTCCTCCAGGCAGGGTTCACCGACACAGGCTGGGCTAGGCAGGGCTCTGCTCTTGACCAAGTTACCCATAAAACTGCTACACTCTGGCCAATCCGCAGAATGTCTCGCCTTCTGGGGCCACGCACGCTCTCCATGGACGGGGCCCTCCGTGAAGCCGACACAGCGCCGGGTTGCTTCTCTCAGCCCGAGTGGTTAGATTAGGGGTCGTGATTTCTACCCAATCTGACCTCATTTCATAGAAGCGGGTCCACCAGGAATGGCCTTAACTATGGGAGTTAAGCTTGTAAACCTATCGCAGACAATCTATAGCTTCAACCCAGAGGTCTAATACGTGTCTTAAACTCCAAGTGTTGCCATCGTCTTGCGCCTCGACAGCCTTTCGCCAAATTCCTTGTGGAAACTGCATCTCCCTCTCCGCATCTCCCTCTGATCCGCTTGAGCTGTCGGTGCACTTGGCAACGGGCAGTGTGCGGCACCCTGTTACCAGCGGCGGGTTTCCAATTCGCTGGGTCGGCCTGCTCCGCGACCCTGGGCTAACGATGTCCAGGAGGGAACGGACTTCTTGTGTTGGAGAGCAAGCCGAATATTTCAAACCCTCCAGGGAGCAGGGTTCCGGAAGCGGGAAAATCTTGTGTATGTCGTTGTGTACGTGTGTGAGGGGTGTGTGTGTGTGTGTGTGAGGATCTGTGTGGGTGTGTGCAGATGTGTGTGTGAGGGAGTGTGGGGCAAATATGTGTATGGGGGATGTGTACGCGCATGTGAGGATTGTGTGTGTGTGTGAATTGTGTGGGCATGTGTGTGTGAGGGTGTGTGTGTGTGTGTGTGAGGATCTGTGTGGGTGTGTGCAGATGTGTGTGTGAGGGAGTGTGGGGCAAATATGTGTATGGGGGATGTGTACGCGCATGTGAGGATTGTGTGCACATGTGTGGATGTGTGCGTGAATTGTGTGGGCATGCGTGTGTGAAGGTGTGTCAGGGGGATGTGTATGCGTGTGTGAGGATTGTGTTCATGTGTGGATGTGTGTGTGTGTGAATTGTGTGGGCATGTGTGTGTGAGGGTGTGTGTGTGTGCATGTGAGGATTGTGTTCATGTGAGGATATGTGTGTGCGTGTGTGTAAGGGTGTGAGCGTGCGCTTCCTTATTTCCTTGGCACATCTGCAAAGCCGGTGCGGCTGCAGACGTAGTACTCTCCTTTGCTGATGGAGCCCGATCCCATGAGGTAGCCAAAGTGCACGTAGGAGACCTCGCCAACCACCTCACGTCTCCACCCCGCGGCTGTGCCACAGGACTGGGCGGCAAGGAAAGGAAAGAAACAGCCCCGCACCCACAGTGGGAAAATGCTGCTTGACCCCAACCCGGAGCATTAAGGATCCTGAAATCGGAGGAACCTGCAGCTTTTCAGCTAACCAGCTCTGGTCCCATGACAGTAATTTTCCGGCCGCCAGCGTCTGGTCATGCAGGCCTGGATTCGCCCTTACCCCAGCGAGGGAGAGCCAGACTTCTGGGATTCAGAAACACACGCTGCTTGAGGGGCCCGTCTTTATTCCTGGAACGTTTTCCTGCTTTGCCCTTTTGTGGGTGCGAAGGACCGGCGGTCTTCGGCTCCCCGGCGCGGCGGGCATGGCTCTTGGGCCTGTGCCCGGCCAGACGAGCGCTGGATGGCCTGCGTACTCCAACACCCGGCTCAAAGGCCTGCCAC